CGCGCCAGACAAGCAAACGCATTTGATAACCAGCAATGTTAACCGTCTCTGATCGGATTCAAATCCTTCCCAAAACGACTCATAAAGACAGTGACAGGAAAAAAGGAGATATGCATCTTGTTATTTTATTAGCTAATACAGCGTAAATACATCTAATTTTTTCTATTAGCTAAAACAGCGTTCTGGCTCCCTGTGTAGGTTGTGAAAATGTACAGAGGAAAATAACCGATATCTCTATTTTTAGTTGTAGCTAAAATAGGTTCGAAATTCATTTTATCAGTATCAAATTTTACGAGACAGCGTTTAAATTCCTTCAAGGTTTTAGCCCATGTTTCGTTGTTTGTTAAAGTGTTCCATGCGATTGCTCTTCTGAAGCGTATGGAGTTCCTGATAAAAATTGTTTCTGGTCTTCGGAGAATGATGTTCTCATTTCTTCTGCGGCCTGAATTCCTCTGTAAAAACAAATCTTTAAATTCCGTGACAGTTCGCATTAAGACATCGTCAACGCTAGTGTCCCATGGCAGCCCATATACAATCCGTCTAACCCTTGCATGGAGTTTCTCCAGGTTGTTTAGGTACGTCTTTTTGCACGATCCCCACACTGCCAGACCGTATGTGACTGACGGGATTATCACTTTTGTGTAGAAATCTTCTAATTGTTTCTGAGGGAGGAATCGCATGCGTCAGAGTAGACTTAACTTGGATGCGAAGGACTTCGCTACATTTGCAGCTTGATCTGGCCAGGACGACTTGTTATCAACTTGCACTCCGAGGAGTCCTTCTGAGGTTGTCCACTTTATAATTTTGTTGCCAAGGCGAAGAGCTTGGATAGGGCCAGAAAATGTTGATTTGCGCCGCATGATCATTGCTTTACATTTTTCTGGGTGTGGTACCATCGAATTTGTGTCACACCATTCCTGGAGTTCAGCTAGAACATTGTTTAGAGAGTTTGTTAGCAAATCCATCGTATCTGCGATACAGTATATTGTCGTGTCTTCTGCATACAGATAGGTTTCCGCAGAGCGTAGTGATTTTGGGAGGTCGTTTGTGAAGAGCGAGAATAGCGTGGGTCCGAGGACCGACCCTTGCGGCACTCCGTGAGTTATAATGTGTGTATCGGAGTCGCATCCGTTTATTCTACGAATTGTCTTCGTTCTGTACGGTAGTTCTTTAATCACAGCCAGATATCTCCTCTGATTCCAGGGTCGTTCAGCTTTTGTTGTGCAACACTGTGTCGAAAGCTTTAGTGAAATCCACAAACAGTATTCCCACAAAAAGCTTTCTTTCTACTGCTTCTCTCCACCTCTCAGTTAGATGTATTAAAAGATGTTCTGTTGACTTTCCCCTCCTATAAGCCCATTGTCTGTTATCAAGTAAATTTTGCGTAACCACGTGATAAGTGATATTACTTGCGACGCGGGATTCCATTAATTTACTTGGTATACTGAGCATAGACAGTCTTCTGTAACATGTTCTGTCTTCCTCTCGTCCTTTTTTGAACGCTGAACCGACTCTAGCTATTTTCCACTGGTCTGGTGGCTTGCAGGCTTCAACACTCTGTTTAAACACGCTCGTGAGAGATGGGGCAATAGACATACCCGCATATACTTTTAAAGACGCGCAGATACGCCATCTGGCCCTGTAGCTTTCTTCACTTTAAACTTACAGATCTTTTCCTTGATTTCCATCTGACTAATCGTGATGCTGGTCATAGTCGGCGTCCCCACATTCTCACGGTTATGAGCGTGTAATGGCTGAATTTCATCCGCGGGGCCAATGAATTTTTCAGCAACTGTGCAGAAATAATCGTTTAATATAGTTGCCTTTTCAGTGTCACTGTTGTAAGGGTTCCATCGTCCTTCTTTAATTGTTGGGCTTGTCTGTTTACTTTTGTTGTTCCTGGTATCTTTGTCAGTTCAAAGTAGACAGACTGCAAATTATCTTAGTTGCTAAAAAATATATATCTACGTGTCGCACCTGTTCATCAGTAGGATGCCTAAAATGCGTGCAATTCCACAATTGGTTTCGGCTCCATTAAATCCTATACCAATTGCAGAACATTTTAGGAGGAGCCACCCACCATGTGAGCACAGTCACGGACAATGTATAAGTGAGGAAAATAACGCAAAGTAAAATTAAGACGTTAATAAACG